ACTCCTCCGAGTAGTCCCGAGAAAGCGTCGCCGAAACAACAACCCAATGTCAGAGCGGTACCAATTCCGCGCTCGCCCTCCCGCCGTTCGCCAGCCCGTCCCGTACCTGGTCTTCCGACGCACCGGTCACTTGAGGAGAGGTCACCCGCCCCTCAGCCAGGTGTACATCGAGAACCCTCCCTGAGGCGGCCAATCCCCGAGCCTCCCCGCGAGACCAAGCCGCTTATGGTCCAGATTCCTCCCAGGCATTACGTAGCGCCGGAGCCGCTGGCAACCGCACCGCTCTCCAACTACAGGCCCCCGACGCATGATCCTCAGGAGCGCCCTGGACTGCCTCCACGACAACCGTCCCTGGCACGAAGGGGCGGTCCGTCACCGTCGCGGCACTCGTACCAGGTGGAAAGCCCGGCGTTCTCATTGCCTCCCCCGACACCCTACCGCGAATCCCGGCCCCTCTATCGAGACGAGCTACCCACTCCGACGCAGGTCTCTCGGCAGCCGTCCATCTCCAGGGAGACTAGGCCAGTGCCGCCTCCGGCTGTCCCGGAGCGGCCCGTGGTAGAGCGGCCTGTGGTGGAACGCCAAGCAGTCCGCCCTATCCCTAGTGAGGACGAACAGGTTCCGGATGAGACGCCAGTTGCTCGTACGGATTATCCAGATGCGTCCAGTGCAAACAGACGGCCGCCACTGCTCAAGACTGGGCCCCAAGAGATTCACACGCGGTATGACACGCGACTTATGGATGTCTGTGGGAAGCATGTGTGCACAACCGGCTACATCACGCGGGTCTGGGATCTCACGACCGGGGAGCAACTCATGAGCCTTAGCCATGGCGAGACAGTCAAGTGTTTGTCGGTTGCCTTTAAGCCAGGTGTGGGTTTGGAGGATGAAGGCCAGCGCTTATGGTTGGGCACGAATTCTGGGGATCTTCACGAGGTTGACATTGAAACCCGGTCCATCGTCGCATCACGGTCTTATCCCTCTCGACGGGAGATTGTCAAGATATTGCGGCATAAAAAGGAAATGTGGACCCTTGACGATGAGGGTCGGCTGCTGGTATGGCCGCCAGACGAGACTGGAACCCCGAACCTCCAGTACAGTTACCACAACCCCTACGATCGAGTTGCCCGCGGACATACGTTTTCGATGGTGGTGGGTGACCTTTTGTGGCTGGCTTCCGGCAAGGAAGTGCACATTTACCAGCCAAACGCTCGCGATGATGTTTCGTTCAAGGTTCTCAGCAGGCCATTGGGCTCGCTGCATACGGGAGATGTAACGTCAGGTGCCTATACCACCAGGGATGGTGGCCGTGTGTACTTGGGTCATGCAGATGGAAAGGTGACAGTATACTCGGCTCGTGACTACACGTGTCTGTCGGTCGTCAACGTCAGTGTCTACAAGATCAACTGCCTGGGTATTGTGGGAGATTATCTGTGGGCAGCGTACAAGACCGGCATGATCTACGTCTACGATACGTCTACGAATCCGTGGACGGTGAAGAAGGATTGGCGTGCTCACGATAGCCCTGTCAGCGGGTTCTTGCTTGATTCTAGCAGCGTGTGGACGATGAACCGACTGCAAGTGACTTCGCTGGGAGACGACAACTGCATCCGTCTCTGGGACGGCATGTTGGAGGATGATTGGTTGGGTAAGTAGCCGTCGATTTCCGACTGATGTGAGCTAACAGCCGGTTAGAAACTAGGATGCAGGCCCGGGACGTGGAGTTTTGCAAGTTCCGTGAGATTCATGCGGTGATTATGACATGGAACGCCGGTGCTTCTACTCCGGGAAGCGTGCGCACATCCACTTTTATCCAGGATGCGATCCATCCTGAGAACCCACCAGAGATTTTGGTGTTTGGCTTCCAGGAGCTGGTGGACCTTGAGAACAAGAAGATCACAGCCAGTATGTATACTGTCGATTTTGTTAGGGTATAGCTAACCCCATCCAGAGAGTCTGCTCCTCGGAAGCAAGAAGAAGGAGCACGGTGATAAAGAGCATATGAGTCGTCAGTACCGGGTCTGGATGGAGCATCTGACCCGCTGTATCAATGACTGCATGCCACTTGAAGAATCGTATGTGCTGTTGCATAGCGCGAATCTTATCGGTCTCTTTACGTGTGTTTTCGTGAAGCACAAGGAGCGGCAGCGGATCAAGAACATTGGCGCTTCAGAGATAAAGCGCGGTATGGGAGGCTTGCATGGGAACAAGGTAGGTCACCGGTGGTTCTTTGGCTGTCAGTTGCTGACCCTTTAGGGTGCACTTATACTGCGCTTTGTCCTTGACGACAGCTCCTTCTGCTTCATCAACTGTCACTTGGCAGCCGGTCAGACGCAGACGGCACACCGCAACAATGATATCGCGGCGATTCTCGAGGCGGAGTCACTTCCCGCGGAGACTAGTCTTGCGACTCGCGCGAATCACTACGTGAGCGGTGGCGATGGCTCGATGATCATGGATCACGAGATCTGCATCCTGAACGGTGATCTCAACTACCGTATCGACTCGATCCCGCGGAATGTAATCATCGACGACATTCGCAGCAACAACCTTACCAAGCTACTAGAACGCGACCAGTTGCTCGCATCACGACGCAAGAACCCAGGCTTCCGCCTGCGTTCGTTCAACGAGGCGCCCATCACATTCGCACCTACGTACAAGTACGATGTTGGCACCGACGAGTATGACTCCAGCGACAAGAAGCGCGCCCCAGCGTGGTGTGACCGAGTTCTCTACCGCGGGCTAGGCCGTGTCCGTCAACTAGAATACCGCCGACACGAAGTGCGCGCCTCCGACCATCGCCCAGTGAGCGCTACGTTCAAGCTGCGTGTCAAGACGGTACTGCCGACTGAGCGAGCGGGAACCTGGGAGTCGTGTCAGCAGGAGTTCCAGAACGAGAAGCGCCGACTTGCATCAGAGGCGAGGTGAGACATACCTTATTCTCGTGGAAGGCTATTGGCTAACAACAACAGCATCGAATACCTCATTACTGTCCTCGGAACAGACCCTCAACAGGCGCGGGCTCTGATCCTGGGCAACGGGAACTGATTGTGGCTTGCTTGCAGTAGAGTGTATGTTGGCGCTTGGGAGTAGACCGGCTGAGGCCATGTGTATGACTAATGAATCACGATAGACATGTATCATGACGGGGATTAGAGTTACCCGGGCATATATTAATGGAGTGTATATAGCAGTTTCCTGGGCTCAGCTACCTGTATCATCCATGCTTCGACCTCATCTTTAAAAGGGGATAGAAAGTTGTAAGGCGCACGAGGCATGACGATATATATGCGAGCTGCAGATGATAGCCTAGCCCGAGCAACACGAATACAAAAGCGATAGAATTGTATTCAAATAAAATAACCAGGCTAACAATACATATTCTAATCCCTAATAATTTAAAAGCCAAAACCATAGGATGAATATAGGCGAACCCAGAACCACAATAAGAATTAGAGTATAAGTGCGGCGGATACCTAACATATTAAGCCTCTACTCATCTATCAAATTAATGAGAAATAAGGCACCAACAATGGGCCTATGGCGCAATTGGTAGCGCGTACGACTCCAGATCGTAAGGTTGTCCGATCGAGCCGGGCTGGGCTCAATGTCTTTTTGATAATATCTCTCAATAAGACATCCCGAGTCCAATGAAATTCAAGTCTTAGTGCACTTCTTTTTATGCTACGCCGAGGTTGAGCATCACGACATTGTGCCTCTCCATCCTGATTTGTCGCTTAATCTATACATTCATTTATCGCAGCAGTTACTAGTTGTTCACCCACCAGGAATACCGTATAGCATCCAACTACCGGGCTGCATTGTGAGGGTTCCATATGCAGTTTACCATTGGTGGCAGTGAGATATCATGCAGGTCCGCGGTACATATCTATAGTTAAACACCCTACACTGTCTTTCAGCTAGCGCCTACTACATGGCCATGTACTCATTTGCTTCTCGTATTGTGGTCCTGAAACAGCAATGTTATATCCTATAGTTATGTCCTAAGCAGGCGGCCGCATTCTTCTATAGCACGACACTTTGACTGTAACTTGAAGCAAAACCCCCAGCAATACATCACAGCAGATGGGCCTATGGCGCAATTGGTAGCGCGTACGACTCCAGATCGTAAGGTTGTCCGATCGAGCCGGGCTGGGCTCATATGTCTTTTTTATGCCTTTCCATCCATAAGGATGTAAGAGGATTCTCTAGTCTCCTCTCAATTAGATGTTTTCTCCCTTGTACTTGACTTGCAGAAAGGAATTTCCATGGCGTATTGCCTCTTTCCGTGTGCTTTGAGAGCCGGGATGCGTTAATTAGCTATCATACATCACTTCAGTCATCCGTCGAAGATGGCAATAAATTCGGTGTAGCTTGCAAAACCATACAGGACAGCTTCGCCACTAGCTTGAGACTGGATCGTATAGGCCATATATCATAACCGGTTATCTGCATCCTATCTCGATCATTTTAGTCAACGTAATCAACGGTTGGACGGACCACACGGTTGGGCGGCCCATCCTACTTTCCCATATAAAAATGTCTTTTTGATTCTGATATATCTTAAATAATACTGTATTTGGGAACCTCTAACTTTATATATAGATTTAGTATAAGTAGATAAATATATTATATTTTTTTTTGATCTTTTCTAGTTTTATTGTGTAGGGCTAATATAGAAATATTGTATAATATAGATAAAATACAGATATAGTAATATAAAAAGTTATTATATATACTTCTAGAGAATTTTGAAGGGTATATAAAGTTTTTATATATTACTAATAGTATATATATCAAATATCTATACTTCTAGACTTCTAATAGTTGCAATATTTCGTGTTTAAAAAAGGATCTTTTGTATAGTATTACCAGATGGGCGTCCAACCGTGTGGGCCATCCAACCGTTGATTACGTTAGTTAGAATACAACAGTTACAAGAGTATCCGGATTCAGCTTGGAACATGTCGCATAAAGTACCGCAATTTTCCAAATAACATGGGCCTATGGCGCAATTGGTAGCGCGTACGACTCCAGATCGTAAGGTTGTCCGATCGAGCCGGGCTGGGCTCATCCATTCTTTTTTTCTTTTTACTCTTAACTACTATGATTATGCTACTCTTTTAGTTTGAGTTTTTGCTACTTTGTAAAATTTACCTAAGTGATCTGTGTTGGAGACTTGCGGTCATGGAGTATGTGCAGAAGTACAAGTTTTCGGTCGACATCAGTAGATTGTTGCAGTCCACAGTCTTGTCTAATATCGGTTCTCTAATATCAGTAGTCCCTGAGCTAGAATATTCTGCGGCAAGTAACAACTCTATGACGACCAAATTAGCTGCCGGTTAGGGCTGCTGTCCGGATTAGGAAGTTATCTGGAGGACTTAAAGTGCTTGGCATAGTGGCTAAACGTTGATAGATCCGATTCGCCCAACAATATGATATAGTGGATAACTGTGACGGCCACTATTATATCATTGGCTGATTTCATTTCATACATGACCGACTCCCCAGGAACTCCATGTCGCCTTTTCCCATTATAAAATGGATTCCAATTGGATTGGTCTTGGTTTTCTGCTGCAACTGAATGCAGCTGCTTATGAATCAAGCTGGTAACTCAATTTAATACCCTGTTTAGGAAGTCTTCTTCTTGCGAGGCGCATATTTATACCATGCCTCGAGCTCGTCAGAGCAAGCTAGACATGGCTGTGGAGTGTGATTCACCAACGGACCATGAAAGAACAGTGTCTTAAAGACCAGCGTCCCCAAGATGTTGATCGTCAGGGACGACGGCGTCCGCGCATCTTTCCTAACCTGGTCTCTGAGATCGGGTTCTGCGTGGCCCTTATGTTGTCCCAGATTATGTCGGTAAGTTTATACCAGCTACCCTTCCTAATCTCAGCTCATCTCACACTGCATGCAGGAATTCTTCATTTCCGGCTTCAACGTCCTCATTCCATCCGTCTCTGAAAGCCTCAACATCCCTGCTGCATCCACCGGCTGGCCCTCCAGCGCCTTCGCCCTCACAGCCGGCAGCTCCCTCCTCCTCTTCGGCCAGCTAGCCGACAAGTACGGGGGCTTCGTGGTCTTCACCTCCGGTCTAATATGGCACCTCATCTGGACCCTAATCGCCGGGTTCTCCCAAAACGAGATTATGCTCAACTTCTGCCGTGCCCTGCAGGGCTTCGGGCCCGCCGCCATCCTCTCGGCAGGCATCATGCTCCTCGGATCGATCTACCCTCCGGGTCCCCGGAAGAACCTCGTCTTTAGCATCTACGGCGGATGCGCCCCTATAGGCTTCTCCGCAGGCATCCTCGTCTCCGGAATCGCCGACCAGCTCCTCACGTGGCGCTGGTACTTCTGGATCGGCGCCATCCTGATCCTCATCACTCTTATAGCCGCCCTAATCTTCATCCCCACTCCAATCCGCGCACAACGACCCAACCCAACCCTCAAGATCGACTACCTCGGCGCCATCCTCTTCATCTCCAGCCTCATCCTAATCTTCTTCGCCGTCAACGACTGCGGGCACGCCCCTAACGGCTGGCGCACGCCTTATATCCCCGTGACCCTCGTAATCGGCTGCATCCTCCTCGCCGGGGCAATCTATACAGAACACCGCCTCACCACCAGTGCAGAGACAGAAGACAGCAAGGAATCACCAACCCCAATCCTCCCCCTCACACTCTTCCGCGTCCCACACCTCCCCGCCCTCCTCATCGCCCTCTTCCTCTTCTACGGCGTCTTTGGCATCTGGCTCCTCTACACCGTAACCTACATGCAAAACATCCTACACATCTCCCCCCTGAAAGTGGTCCTCTGGTACCTCCCCTTCGCTCTCGGAGGTATCGTCCTCAGCTTCGTCGGCGGTACCATCCTCCACATCGTCCCAGGGACTATTCTCCTTATACTCTCGGGGATAGGATGGCTCATGGCGCCGCTGCTCTTCGCTATCCTCCCCAGTACCGATGATGTGAGTTACTGGGCGTATATCTTCCCGGCGATGATCTGTGGGACAGTGGGTGTGGATATCACGTATAATATCACGAATGTGTTTCTTACGACGACGTTGCCGGAGAAGCAGCAGGGGTTGGCGGCCGCGGTGGCGAATAGTGTGTTGTTCTTGGGCGTGAGTTTCTTTGTTGGTTGGGGGGATTTTGTGGCGGAGATGGTGGATGGTCAGAGGGAGGGGTATAAGGCCGCTTTTTGGTTGGGGGTGGCGTCTGCTGCGATCGCGTTGGCGATTTTGGTTGGGTTTGTGAAGATTGAGGCTGCGAGGGGGGAGGAGAAAGATGAAGTTGATGGGAGTGAGTAGGGCTTTAGTCTATTCGTGTTATACTTGTTGTGGAATAGGTTGCATAGCGCTCTGGTGTTCGTCTCTAAGATAATGTTCAAGATTGATGGTTAATGGGTACATACATAATTACCAGCAAGGAAGATATTGCAGGACAGTGTAGTCTAGAACATGTTGCATCTTCGTTAAGTCTAGGCGATGATGTGTCGCATGCCAGCGAGGTTGTATTCATTATGAGAAGGGAAGTATACGCGCTCTTGTACTTCCGGAAAAGGGATATTTCCCAATACGGATAGTTCCAAAAAGGAATGTCATCCGCTCTGTCAGCACAACGCCTGCATCAAACTTACTTCTCCGCGCTTAGCATACCCTTTTGGGTAATATACTTCCAGCTGTGCATTTCATAGATAGATAGGTAGCCGATTCACAGAAGAAAAGAAACGTCTTATAGGAGATGGCAAACAACATAAATAATCCAGACTGTAAGCATTGCGTATCCTCTTCAACCAAGAAATCTAAATCAACCTACCTAAACAGCCATGGCCCTCCTACTACTCACTATCATCTTCACCATCATCCTACTCACCAAGCCTCTACTCAAATACCTCAACCCAACCAAATACCCTCCTCTCAACCCCCTCTCCAACCTCACCACCCTCTCCTATACCTACGAACACCGACATCCCTTCCGCACCCAACGCCTCTGCAACCAACACCTCCACCACAAACACAACCACACCCACAACCACCACATAATCCGCCTCTCCCCCACCGCCCTCTCCATCGCCGACCCACGAGCAATCCCAGCAATCTACGGCCACGGCACCCCATGTCTCAAAGACGACGTCTACGCACGCACCAAAGGATCCCACACCCACTTTAACATGCTCAACACGATCTCCCGCGACGACCACTCCCGCAAGCGACGTATGCTCGCGAATGCCTTCTCCACGAAGAATCTCGAACAGTGGGAGGGTAAGATTGTGGATAAAGTGGAGAGGTTGGTGAGGCAGTTGGATGGGAGGTGTATGTTGCCACCTTCCCCGGAGGGGATGGTGGTAGAGGAGGAGGGGGACGTTGATTTAAGATTCTGGTTGAATCTATTTACTATCGATGCGATAGCTGATATCGGGCTGAGTATCAAGCTAGGGTTACTGGATAAAGGATCCGATGAGGTTGTGGTGGATGATGGGGAGGTGGTGCGGTATATTGAGTGTTTGCATCGCGGGAATCGGGTTTCATCGTGGGTGATTGGGGCGGATGGGTGGGTAGGGTTTCTGAAGGGGGTTTCGGCGCTGGTTTCGCCGTATTTGAGGAGGCAGTGGGAGTGTGGGAGGATGCTTGGGAGGGTGGTGAGGAGCTTGGTCCAGCAGAGGGTGAGGGTTTATGAGGAGGGTGGGGAGGAGGTGAGTGACTTTTTGGGGTGTTTGATGGAGGATAAAAGGGGAGTGGAGAGGGGGTTGGACAGGGGGGAGATTGAGGCTGAGGCGGGGTTATTGTGTGAGTATTATCTTCAATTCAGGTTACGATGTTTGTGTTTGATATGTATGATGTTGACTATTGCAGTGGATGCAGGTTCGGACACTACGGCTATCGCCTTGACGAACGTCATGTACTATCTTATCAAGAACCCGCACTGCCTGAAGAAACTCAGAGAGGAGGTATCCAGCGCTCTATCTGACAACGAGGTGGCACCATATGCTAAAGTCAGGAATCTACCTTACCTGAAAGCATGTCTGGAGGAGTCGCTGCGTCTATCACCTCCTGTCTCGAGGGGACTGGAAAGGAAGACACCCCCGGAAGGAATGTATATCCTGGGAGAGAGAATCCCCGGGAACACTACTATTAGTGTTCCCACATACGCTGTTCATCGTGATCCAGACATCTTTCCAGACCCCGAGGCCTTCCGGCCTGAGAGGTGGCTTGAAGATGAAGAACAGGTGAAGCAGATGCGGGCGGTTTTCATTCCTTTTAGTAGTGGTGCGCGGGCGTGTATTGGACGGAATATCACGTTTATTGAACAGCAGATTCTGGTGGCTACTTTGGTTCATCGGTATGAGTTTGCGTTGCCGTCGAAGGATTGGATGCTGGAGTGGGAGGAGGCATTTAATTTGTGGCCGGGGCGGATGCCGGTGAAGATTTGGAGGAGGGAGAATAAGCTGATCTACTAAGGTTATCTTCGGATAGTCTTGGTATGAAGATTCAAGAAAGCGGAATCAGTTAATGACTTGGTGTTGTTCATGTGCTTGCTCAAACCAACCTAAATCGTTGATTGTTATTGCAGTTGCACAATGCGATGCCAGTATGGAATCCGAGTCGTTTCAATGCCATATAGCAGTGTCCACATCTTGAACTTTTCAGCAATAGTGGATATATGCTTTTCTGCTATTATATCTATTAGCCTTATCTATGAATGATAGGTTCAACTCAGTAATACAATGGCTGCGCTGCTTGCACGAGTAAACCATCCGATATAGGCGAAGAGGCTATGCTTCTCTTATACAAGCAGCACCTTTATGGAGGTAGATGTGAAAAAGAGACACAAGAGGGAGATGAAGAGGAATGAACCATGCCGATGCCCGGCTCAAGCTCCCCCCCGCAGTCCGCCTTCGCTGCTAAGCTGTCATTTAGTTTCTGACGAAGTTACCCATTGAATTTCCAGTGTCAATTTTCTTATCAGGACTGCTTGTCAAGGCTAGCTCTAGCACATCAAAATGTATCGACCGTATACCTACACATGAGAGGAATTATTGGCCAATATATGCAATGTAAGATCCTGTTC